GATTAGAATTTAATATGAACAAAACAAATACAATGGTTATAAAATTCACAAACAAAGAAAGGATAGAGAAGGAGAAAGGATAGGCAACCAAGTAATCAAAAAATGCACCAAATATTCATACCTAGGGGATTTAATTAATGATATAGGAGGTTATAACGATATGATAAGAGACCGAACTAAAAAATGTAGGTTCATGACGAGGGAAATATTATCATGGGCAGAAGAGCCAAATTATGGAAATCATACTATAGAAGCAAGAGTGAAATTATACGAATGCACAGTTTTACCTTCCTTCCTAAATAACAGTGAAACATGGACTAACTTAACTAAGGAAGAAGTAAAAATGTTGGAGGATCTCCAAAATGAGTGCCTGCGCAAAATAATAATCACGCAGAAAACGCAGAAAAATCTACCGAAAGGCATTGAAAGACGATAAAAACTCCAAGGAAAGATACGGAGAAATCAGTAAAAATAACATATAATTTCTATACGTAAATCGTGGTAAATACATTAAAAACGCATTATTTTATTGAAAATCCCCATATTTACTAATAAAACATCCAAGAGATAGCGCTGTGGCATGCAAACATTGGCTCCGAACATTCCAACCTCTGTCGTGCAGTGTGCTGTGTTTTGGTGAATTGTTCAATGAATGACGCACTTGTTCACTTCCGACAGCGAGTGAAAATGCAGAAAATTTTCTTCTTATATGCGAAATGCATCGGCCGGGCATTTCATTATTTACGAAAAGTAAACAGGCTGGGGAAAGACAGTAGGTACAGAAACTGGTCACGTCGGTGAGGCCCCATTCATGTCCATCAACGAAGAAGGCGGGGCTTATTCTGATTACGGAGATGCGAAAATGCAACAGAAGGACGTAGCGCAGTGCGCTAAACAGCGTGTTATTTTCATATTTGTGCCAAACTCTATCGTAGGAAACCGTTCTAGCCTAGCAGAATGCCCTAGTTTCTGAGATCGGCGATTTGGTGCTCTAATGGTATTATACCTAGAAATTATAATAGAGAGGTGCGGCGTAGACTGTGATTAAGAAGACACAAAGTGTCAATTCTCGGCGCGCCTCGGCATCATGGCCGCATCACGTCCAGGTACGTACCATCTGTAACACACGGGTTGAATCGACAAGACGTGAAAAGATTCATTTGTATTTTAACGCGCGCACAAGGTTCTCTCACGTCCTGGAAATTCCTGAACAATATGTTATGGTCTAGG